AAGTTCACATATCAATAAGCAGCACAGCTGGAAATGAACCCAAGTCTGTCTAACATAAGGCCCAAATTCATTCCACTTTACTACACATGGCTGGCTCTATTATTCAATCATTCAACAGAAATATATCAAGAACCTACTATATGTCAAGCACTGTCCAAAGGATACAGAGGTAAAAGATAGAGTCCCTAGCTTCAGGAATCTCATGGGCTAGTCAGCAGAGTCAAGCAAATAGTCAGGCTGGTTCACACCTGTAATCCCAGCACTTTGGGAGACCGAGGTAAGTGTATTGCTTACCTTGCCTGAGCAACATAGTAAAACTACATCTCTATAAAAAATATAAAAATTAGTCAGGCGTGGTAGCACATGCCTGTGGTCCCAGCTACTTGGGAGGCTAAGGTAGGAGGATAACTTGAACCCTGGAGGTTAAGAGGTGAAGGCTGCAGTGAGCAGTGATCATGCCACTGCACTCCAGACTGGGCAACAGAGCAAGACCCTGTCTCAAAACACACAAACACACACACACACACACACACACACACACACACAAAACAACAGCAGATGACTTCTAAAGTCCCTTCAAACCCAAGATTCTAAAGGAAAAGAAAGGCCATAACAAGTATTTACCATTACCAAGTGTTCCAAGTATAGATCTCTGCAACTATCTAATGGGGTTGGGGTTGAATTATAAATAACAATTCCAAACATTGTTCTAATATTTTTAACAATTTTCTCAGTCTGAAAACCCTAAGACATTCATATTTTCACCTGTTTAGGTAACTGCACATTTTTTAAATTTTAGGATTATGAAATTAATTACAATGCCACAAATTCCTTAAAAACTCACAGTAAGTAATATTCAAAACTGGCTACAAAACTAAATGCCATCTCAAACAGGAAGACAGGAAAACAATTATTCCTACTTCACTGTCACCAAATCCTACAACTGATAACTAGCAATAAAGAAAAAAGATTTCAACCCATTAGGAAAATGCCCTACAGCGTACAGAAGAGCTGGCCCATCATTCCAGATCTCAAAATAGCTTCCCTCTTCCTTCTCATTAGTTAAAGAGGACTGATGCCATGTAACAAGTTCTTAAAGAGATTATTTAATTCAAAAAGCTACTTACTATATTCAGAGATTAACTCTCAAGTCAGCGAACAGATTCCAAAATTGTGAGGCAGAATCAGTAAATAGTGTCATGAAGAAGTTAGCTCTTCCGTTTTAGGGTCTGGGTGCAAAACAGCAACACCAGAGTCATTCAATTAATCCATTTTCTTAGTCTTAATAAATAGTGTAAATGAAAAAACTTAAATAATAAAGTTCCTATAACAAAAGTATATGTCACATCTAAAAGCAATAATGTAAGACTAGCAGAGCAAAATGTAATTAAAAGTATATCAACAGCCAGGCATCACAGTATATGTGCCTGTCATCCCAGCTACTCAGGAGGCTAGGGTGGGAGGATGACCTCAGCCCAAGAGTTTGAGGCCACAGTGCACTGTGATCACATATTCCAGCCTGGGCAACATGGCGAGATCCTGTCTTGAAAAAGAAAACTATATAAACATATTTCTACTGGTGACCAGAAACCAAATTTGCCCTCCTCCCTGAAACAAGTAGGGGAAAAAAAGGGACAAATACATAAAACATTTTTCAAGACACTGGACTGAGGCAACAAAAGACAGTGATCCCAAATAGATGGGAAACAAGCACGAAACCAACAACTGCTTCAGCATTATAGCCTTGAGTTTCCAGGCCACAGAACAGGAAGAGTGGAATCCAGGCAGAGCACAATGGTCGGAGCTGAGGAGACAGAACTGTGTCTGGAGACAGCAAGGTGGCTCAAGTACACAGGGCAGAGTACTTAAGAGAAATGCACAGTGAGAAAGATCTGCAGAGGGTATACCTCAAGTTTGAGTACTTATCAGAATATAACTGTGAGGAAACTACCCAAAGATAGTGAAAAAAACCATCAAAAAGATTGAGAGTGAACACCACCAAGTAGGTTCTGTTCCCACCAGCTAGAGTATTCAGAAGAGTTTTCCTGAATAGTGTGACAAAGTGGTACTGCCTAATAAAACTTAAAAGCACGTCCCTAAAAGATCAAACTGTTTTCAGGTAACTTAATGCATGCTAGAACAAAGCTCAAGATTTTTGTATTTAATGGAATACAAAAATATCCAGCACCGAACAAGCTAATATTTCAAATGTCTGGCATCAAATAAAAAAAAATCAGGCAGGCAAAAGCAGGAAAACAAAATCCATAATGGAGAGAAATACCAATCAACCAAAACCAACCCCAAAATGACACAGACAGAATTGGTAGACACAGACATTAAGCCAATCATAACTGTATTCCCTATGTTCAAGAAGCTAGAGAAAAGATAGAGCATGAAAAACACAAATGTGGAAGATGTAAGACAATTTCTACAGATGAACCTATAATACCCGGAATGAAAAATACGGTGGGTGAGATTAAGAGCAGATTAAACATTATAGAAGAAAAGATCAATAAATTTGGAGACATCACAACAGACTATCCAAAATGAAACGAAGACTAAAAGGAAATTGCATTAATCATTAATAAATTTTAAGACAGTATCAAGCTGACTAACATATATGTAACTGGACTTCCAAAAGGGTGAAGAGGTCAAATATATGCATATATATTTGTAGAAATAATGACCTAAACTTTTCTAAATTTGATCAAAACTACAAGTCCACAGATCCAAGACACTCATCGAATTCCAAACACAAGAAACATGGAAAAATATATAGTTTCATTTACAAAGTGTTCTTGCTCACAAATTCTGTAACTAAATGTACTGTAGAAATTAGACTAAGCCTAACTTTTACATTAACTAGGTACAGAGTTACAATTGACACTTTATACTAGAGTACATGAAAGCATACATTAACCTAAGTAAAGCGCTTAACAGAAATCCTAATGACTTCAAAATTAGCAAAACATAGCTTTTAAAACAATGCATATTTTGTCGCCCTATCAAATAATTTATTAAGATAAATTTGTGTTGATCTTATTTTAGCAAATTATTCAAACAAAGCAAAAATATACTTCTCTTTTTTCTTAATTTTCTTTTCCTTTAATTTATATAGGTCATTCAGAATAGAATTAGGATACCGAAAAAAAAAATCTAAAGAAACTGGGAGGTGGAACTGAAAATACAGAAGCAGATTTGAGGTTTGGAAAGGAGCTAGTCCTCATGAAAAACAGCAACCTGGCAACCACTACTTTGGAATATCATCATTTTCAAAATATACATATTTTTTAAGCATAAAACTGCATTTCAAGTGGAAACAAGCTAATGTGTTTGTTTTTAGCACCTCAGCTACATAGGAGGCAAAAAAAATCTAAATTTTTTTGGAAAGAGAATAATTCAAATAAAAACCATTAAAGGGGAAAAGTAAAGTAATATATTTTCCTATTTTGGTGAACACACGTATTTTTTAGCACACAAATTCAAAATTTTCAGTCTAAAAATAAGCACGTAAAGAGACATAGGGGAACAAGTTCTGAGTATCTACTGTAATGGCTGCCCTTCCTGTCATGTAGGTTCCCCAAAATAGAAGTCAGTTTACTATCCTACCATTTTGCTTAGAAAATAGTCAGATATTTTGAGGATAAAAAATAACTCCATGTCAAAGTTGACAAAAATAAATTTATTGACCCTGAAAATAATGACAATGCTCTTTTGTTCTTTCTTAAGGAAAAAATAAACATATATATTTAGATAACATATATATTTCTATGGGTGCCTATGAAAATAAAACACTGGTTGAAAATGTATAGTAGTGTAAGACTTCCCTGTAGGATCAACACGTACATGAAAAACAGCCCACAAATGTCTTTGAGCACATAAGCAAGTTAACGCCAGAGCAATTTTTTATAGATTTGACTTCTACCCTCTTAAACATAAAAATCTAAACCAATAAAACACAAAATTGATAAGGTTATCAGAGAAGAATGGTAGACTTATTCGCTGGTAACAACTATTTAATAACACACTAATTTCCCATACATATAAAAGAATGTCTTCAAATCAAAAGTTCCAAACTACCTCTTCTAATCAGATTCTATTCAAGAGAAATAAGTGTAAGTACGCATTATTTTGAGCACAACTGAAAAATTCAGTTTGATGAACTACATTAGCATACTTAGAATGCACATATGCTACAATATCTGCAATTAGATAAAAACTGAGTTTTAATTTTACTGATCCAGCTACCAATACACTTTCACTATTCAATTCCCATCTCAAAAGCATACTTTCCTACTTAGTACAAACCCAATACTATAAACACAAAAGACAAAGATTTGCCTAATAAGTCATTATCTAATTGTTATCAAGACTTGTTACTTACATTTCAAAACCTGCAAGAATACCTTAAAATGATCCCTAAAATATTAAGCAACCTAATAATTCACGCAATAAATCATCTCATCAGGCTTTGGTTATTAGGCATTTAAATTACTTACTACAGAGAGAATCCTCACCAATCAGAACTGTTTGAAATTTTCTCTTCTGAAATCTGTTATTACTTAACCAGTTTCAAAATTTGAGCCATTTATTTCTAGATATAAAGGTTAATAAGAAAGATTTCTGCATCAAATGCACATAACTTCACAGCAAGGTCTTTTTTCCCCTCTTAGGAAACCAGATTCTCATTCTCTTTCTTATTTTACCAAATTATCAAAGAAGACACACTGTGGCTTGGATTTCAGTATTGAAGACAAGTGACGATACATGGTTGACAGAATGAAAAGCTAAAGTTTCACAGTTTTAACAGGTAGAATTTCTAGGTTGTGATAATGGGCTGAGCGCATAATATTAGCATCCTTTCAAGATCCAATTCTTAAACCACCTGAATTTTTCTGGCCAATAAACCAAATCAGGGGCTTAAAACAACGTGTCTCAAAGTTCACCCTATGCTATTTCCCAAAGAAAACAAGTTACCTAGGAAAGAAGGAAGAACTTACATTTGGAGCATGACCTGGTTCAAGAATACCCCATCCACCAAAGCCACATATTCATCAAGGTTGGTCCCATTTCCTGCAGCCAGAGGTCCAAACGTTTTAACCTAGAACAGAAGGATCACCGCGACATGAACGCCCACCTCCATCTCTGCAGCCACAAATAACGCAGCAAAATATACAATAAAGGACACTCCACTTACCCAAGTGACCAAGGGGCTGGTCATGAACTGCTCCAGAAGGGGAGTAAAAATTTCGTTCTCCATTTTACAGAGTATGTATTTGAAAAAAAGGAACTACCACAAAAATACGCCTAGGGAATAGGTCATTAAACGTGGAAGTAAGTAGAAATCAATGAAAATCCATTTCGGTAAGGGAGGAAAATCCCATCGTGTAGGAGGGGGAAACTCTCCCTCCTCAAAAAACACCCCAGAGGGAAACGAGACGAAATCCCAAGAAGTGGCTTCGACGACGGCCACCACGAGCAGCAGCCTGCCCTGGAAATGTCTGTACCGGGCGAGGAGAGGCAGAGAAAAGGCATCTGGAGGAGGAGGAAGGGAAAGGGGGCTGGAGCCCAAGACAAAAAGCCCGTCAAGGTTGTCCAGCCTCTGGAGGAGCCAGACCAGTGAAACTGCCCCCAATGAATCAATCCCAACGTGGACTAAATGAAATACGTTAGACAGAGACCACGTTTAAGGATTCCGAGGAGCCGCCAGACTAGACCTCGGCGTTCCGACCTCTACACGTTACACCCACCGATGGGCATGGAGCTGCTTTCGACCGGCGGAGCCTCCACTGTCCGTAGCCCCTCAGCACCAACAGGCAGGGCTCGCCCCTTCCCCCAGAGTAGACACCATCCCTCCGCCGCCCTCAAGCCTCGTCTCCAGCCCCCTTCCCCTCCCGGGGGTGGGGGCTCGAATGTGTGTCCCTAACCCTCCAGCTTCCTAAGCCCTGCCAGCCTTTTCAGCGCGTCCCTGGGAATCCCTGGCACAAAATCACCGCCGCACTCCAGCCTCCTCCGCCCTCTATGGAGGAGTCGGAGTAACGGCCTCAGAACCGCAGTGCCGCATCACACCCCACCCCTCGCCTCCCGCCAGCGCCGCGGATCCGCGGTCAAAGGGAGCGCGCTGCTCCCTCCGCGCCGATATCCTTCCGCCGATTCCCCGCCCCTCCCGCGCAGCTGCCTCTGGATTGTGGGAGAAGAAAACCGCTGCATGAGCGCGCTCCCGAGCGAGCGCGCCCCCGGTCTAGCCCCGCCGCCGCCCAGATCTTGATGGCGGCGCGGGCGCGGTTGCGGACGCGCGCTCTCTGCAGCTGCTGCGGAGGCGCCCGCTCCTCTCTTGAGCCCAGGACGGTTGCCAGGGCCTGGGGGGCGGGGACAGGGAAGGCAGAGCAAGGGGTCTGTCTGCTCGCTCGCTCAAGCCTAATTATGGTTTATTTCCTCCCCGAGTGCCTTCTTTGATGTGTGAAGGAAAGGGAAAGAAATCCTTCTTTAAACATGAGGGATGCAGACAGCCTTTTTCGGACAGTTTGATGTGTTCTGTTAAGCATGCCTTCTCCCCAGCAAAATGGAATAGGAAAACTCCCTGCAGCAAATGGCAGAGAGACTTAAGCCACAACTTGGTGGGATTTTTTTTCTTCTTCTTTTTTTTTCTTTCAAACCCAGTCCACTAAAGCATGAATGTTCTTCAAAGTTGCAAATAACATGCAGTGCGATTTTTAAAAACCAAAGTTGTCTTTGGTCTTCAGCAGGTTGGTATTCCTTGACTGGAATGATTCAGACATTGCTTTTTGGTTTGGTTTGGTTTTTTACTATTTGGCCATTGGAGGCGGGGGAAACCCAAGCAAAATCAAGAGCTACAAAGAAGAAACATTTGGAAGTCATCCAAGTTGGGTGACAAATAAACATATTACATATTTGTCATAAATCTCTATGCCAAGCACGAGTGGAACCTCAAAATAATTTTAAGTTCCCTGGCAAAATCAAATGTCACTCCTCATTTCAAAGGAAAAGAAAGACCTTTTTCCTGGGGTAAAATGGGCATGTAGAACACAATCTTTTTTCGAGAAAAGATAATACAGTTTTATAATGTGTGCAGTGTTCACATAAATATTTATGTAGAGTATATATTTTAAATTAGCAGTAAAAATGTTTTTGTCATAACACAATTAAGAAACAGCACAAGTTCTTAATTGGGTAGTTGAGAACCTTGGCTCTGAAGTCTTACTGCCTGATTCCAATACACACCAGCTGTGTGCGTCTAGCCATTATTGAGCCTCTCTGTGCTTCAGTTCCTTCACGTGGAAAGCAGGGCTAATAATAGGGTTAAGTGAAATGGCAGCTTATAGTAAGTGTTCTATAAATGTCATTGATGTTGTTTTTAACATTATTCCTTCAAAATAAGAATCTTTATGAAAAATTTGAAGTGTAATCTCTTCTATTTCACTTCAGTTACAGGAGAAAGGGTCTTGCTCTGAGGAGTAGGGAACTAAATGCCTTTTGAAAATCATCTTAATTAAAATTAGGATGCATTCATGTGGCACTTAGCAAGGGGCTATACAAGTAGAACCTTGCATTTTCCTAGCCAGTACACAAGGCTTGAGAAATCCTGGTTGCTAGCAATCTTTTCCATCTGCTCTTGACTTTTGCTCACGCCTGTAATCCCAGCACTTTGGGAGGCCGAGGCAGGTGGATCACGAGGTCAAGAGATCAAGACTATCCTGGTAAACATGGTGAAACCCCGTCTCTACTAAATGGTGGTGAGTGCCTGTAATCCCAGCTACTCAGGAGGCTGAGGCAGGAGAATTGCCTGAACCCAGGAGACAGAGGTTGCGGTGAGCCGAGATGGCGCGATTGCACTCCAGCCTGGGTAACAAGAGCAAAACTCCGTCTCAAAAAAATAAATAAAAATAAAAAGTCTTTTAGAGATGGGAATCTCACTATGTTGCCCAGGCTGGCCTCGAACTCCTGGCCTCAAGCAACCCTCTCACCTCAGCCTCCCTAGTAGCTGGGACTACACGTGTGAGCCATCATACCTGACTTGGTGACTCCTTTTTCGTTTGTTTGTTTTTTATATTTTGAGACTGAGTCTTCTCTATCACCCAGGCTGGAGTGCAGTGACACGATCTCAGCTCATTGCAACCTCTGTCTCCCGGTTCAAGCAATTCTCCTGCCTCAGCCTCCTGAGTAACTGGAATTACAGGTGCCCGCCACGACACCTAGCTAATTTTTGTATTTTTAGTAGGGACTGAGGTTTCACCATGTTGGCCAGGCCAGTCTCAAACTCCTGACCTCAAGTGATCTGCCTGCCTCAGCCCCCAAAGTGCTGGGATTATAGGCGTAAGTCACCACGCCCAGACTGATGACTCTTTCTTAATAGTAGTCCTTTATTGACAAATGAAATGTAGACAGGAGAGTGGGCACCAAGAAGACAGCATTGCTTTCAGGAGCAGCCCAATGCTTGACATATCCACTTTTCTTTGTAATCCCCCAGAAGCTTGACAAAACAATATGGAAGTAATTATGCCTAAACTGGGTTTATCCTAGGACAAATCAATCTGCTTCATTCATAGACAAAAACCCAGAAAGTATTAACACCAAATACAGCAGGTTAAGTGTATTTTGAAGTGGAGACTGAGGGTTAGCACAGGAATCATACATTAAGACAGTATTGTTTATGCAATTTACTACCCAGCCCTCACAGAAATCTGGATTCTCTTCTAGAGCCAGATGGCCCAGATGCTTTCTGGTCTATCTTTAGGTTTTACACACACACACACACACACACACACACACACGCACACACTCAACAAAGAAACATAAGGAGTTAATTGTAAAAACAGGAAACTTTAGACCAGACTGAGGTCTGGAGGAACTTATTTGAAAACCTACCAATTCACAATTCCCTAGTTTAACAGAAGTCTTAAAAATGCTGTATAATATCTCAAGAGTATAATCAGTAATCTTCTCTGTCTGGCTAAAGAGGGATTGTACCTTATACCCAATTTAATGATCTTTGAATTGCAACATCCTGTAAGATTAAATCCGAAAGTTTCCTATCCACCTTTCACTTAGGAAGAAATTTCTCAAGATTTCTTCATAGTACTTTTGTTTTGTACTTTGTAGTCATTTATGTGTCCTGAATGCATCCTTTCTTGGAATGTTAAATCCAGCAAGAAAGGAGTTTGGAAAAATCATACCCATCTGGTTAGGATGTAAGTTATTTGCTCAGCTCTCTTCTAATCCAACAGTAAATGGTTAGAATGGACCATGGTCTCATTTAGAAATCACTAGAGAAAGACTCTCCACCATGTATTATAATTGAGGCTTTCTCCTTCAGGTTGCACATGAATAACACAATGCTTATACCAAAAGCATATGCACTTCTGCCCACGTCTATCTTGATCTACACTATAGGAAATGATAGACTCACCCAGAACCAGGTTGCTTACTGACAAATATTTTTAAGTACAGATTTACAAAGCTAATCACATTAATAAGCTAGTATGAGGAAAATATCACAAATACAGCAAGAGAATGTCACCATTGTTCATAATAGACAACAAGTGAGAACAACTCACATGTCCATGGACTGATGAATGAATAAATGAAATGCAGTATATACAGATAATACTATCTGGCAACAAAAATATAATGAAGTACTAATACATGCTACAAGATGGATGAAAGCATTATGCTAAGTGAAAGCCATAAAGAACAACATATTGTATGATTCCATTTATGTGAAGTGTCCAGAAAAGACAGACCTATAGAGACAGAAGATAGATTAGTGGTTGCCTAGGGCTGGGGAAGTTGGGGGGAAATGGGAGTGATGGTTTAAGGATGGGAAGTTTCTTTTTGAGAAAATCAAAATATTCTAAAATGATTATGGTGATGGTTGCACAACTCTGTGAATACACTAAAAGCCATTGAGCTGTGTACCTTAAATGGCTGAATTGTATGGAATGTGAATTACGTCTCAATAAAGCTTTATAAAAAAGAATGGCACCATTGCCTCATGAAGATTCTTTTAAGTCATCAAGAAATTTAGTCTCTAATAGACTTTTTAAAAGGGCCCCTTGATCCAATAAATAAGATTTTAAAATCACCTAAGAACACAGAGGCTTATATTTTAATTACCCAACATAGTTTTAAGAGGAAATCTAATAGAGAGAAAGAGGAATTAGGCAGGTTGCTTAACTTTTTTGAGCATCAGTTTCCCCAGTAGGGAATGAGCACACTGGTTTCATTCTCTACTGGACATCTGCTTAGACCAGTGGGCGTGTTGCTCTGTCCTGAAACTCAACTGAGAAGAGGAGAGGAAAGTTGGAAAGCTATGACAGGGAATAGAGAAGGGGTCCTCCTTTCAGGTCAGTATCGATGGCTCTTCTCAAGCACCCTACTTCCATGTTCCAAAGTGAACCTTCTCAAATTCACTGTAATATTCCATATGCCTGTGCCTCTGCACATGCTACCAGCCCTATCCAGAATACTCTTTTCTGTTTGCTAGCTAGGTCAACTCCCACTCATTGCTCAGGATTCAAGTGTTCCCACTCTGTGAAGCATTCCTCTACTTCAGGTTTAGGTGACCACTCCTTTTTGTGCCTGCATAGTATCGAATCTTCCCTTCATTTCTGCAACTTGCTCTAAATGGTATGTATTTGCCTACAATCGCTTCTCCTTTATTCATCTTTGTGTCCCTGGGTCTAGGGCAGTGCAGTGCAGTGCCATGGAGGGCACTCTCGGTCAATGAATCAGAGTTTTCCTCCCGCCGTGGTGACCAATATAAATTCCTAACAAATGGCAAGAGCTTACAACAGAGTGACTTCTGAGAGCTATTCCATTAACTGATGACCTTGAGGAGGCATTAGCTAGATTCTTGCTTGCCAGTGAATTTGAAGAACTAAAGATTTTGCCCCAGGACGTTGAGGTCATCAAATAGCCTTCAAGAGAGCTTTTTTCCAAGTTTTTTTTTTTTTTTTTTCAGAGAAAAGCTTAGAGGAATATATAAACATTATATAATATTTCATTTCTCAGTCAGCATGTACTGACATATATCCTTCTCGACACCTAAACTATTTTTTGTTTTTTATCACATTGATTGAAACTTTATAACAATGTGGCTAAGCTTTGTTGAACAGTATATTCTTAACATAAATTAACCTTTTCTTAAAGAAGTTGTATCACTACATTTGACCTAATTGATTGTGTGGTGCTTTTAATGTGTGATAAATTCAGAGGTTCTTAAAAGAGCAAGGGTGCATTCACAGTCTCCTGTTAACTAAGTTTTGAGTTTTA